TAAAAAAAAAATAGATTTCTACATATAATGTGTTGCTGTATTCTTCCATCTTACAAACAAAATAAGTTAGTTGAGAAAATTCAATTTTTGGCCACTTTGAACCATATTGGTAAAAAATAACTCTGACCCGTATTTATGAAGGTTTCAATCCTATATCTTCACAATGTGTGTGTGTGTGGGTGGGTGGGGGGAACAGCTATCCATTGGGGTGTGCATGGTGCCCTTAAACTGCACATTGACTTGGTTTGCTAATGTCTAGTTTTGTCAATTTCTATTCTTTTTTTGCTAGGAGGAACAAAGATGCAATAGTGTCATCTCATATCAGTGTCTTATACTTTTCTATGTAAACATGCCATAGCAAGGAGCTGCAAAGGACAAATTAGATAAGAAACAAAAAAAATCAAGGACTGGGTGTCTCTGTGCCTCTCTCCTAGCTAATCATATGATTTTCATCAGAATCATTACTGTAATTATTATTATTCATATCATTATTAAAACTTTAATCTGCCCTCTCACTTAAAGTTGCCCTTTTCTCTGAACTACTTCTTATGTTGTATATGGCATAATGGATGCATAACTATTTGGCAAATTGTGAATATACAAATATATATTAACAATACACTAATTGTAAATGAATAAAACTGAGCATTCACATAATTCACCTCACAGTTCCTTTTTTGGTTTGTAATGATTTGCATTTTAACTATTCGTGGAAAAACATAACTAATTGCAACAAAAATGTAGTTTTCTTATTCCTGTTAAAGTAAATAAATAATATTTTTTCAGTCAAATCAAACAGTTAAAATTTCCTAGTGGATGACAGCCTTAAACCAGTTGAAAGGTTATTCTAAACCTACCATGTGCAAAAGGGTTAAAGAAAATAACTATATGAAGACTGAAAAAAAAAAAAAAAAATCTATCAAGTAAAATAAACCTATTTCTCAAAAAATGTCAATGGCATCATAATCAAATACCTTAGATCTTTTGTCATCTAAATCAGGACATCATCTACTCTAAAGCCTCTATCAATTAATACATTTAACCTAATCCTTTGTATGGTATAGTAGTTTCTTGCTCTCTCTCAATGTAATTCACTATATATGATTTTTTATCTCTACATGAAATACCAAGCAATATTTCTATGCCATACACACATACCTAAATCCAGATTACTCAATAAAGTTGTTATTGCCAAAATCCACCTCAACATCATCGTTTAATTTCTTCAGTTTCAGCACTCAAAGTTCACTGCAAGGAATTCTTTAAATTCCCTGTATCCCACAAAGTACAATTCATGTTTTAATGGAACTAAAAGCACAAAGTTTCATCAAATAAAGAAAATTCTAACATATACACATTACTTTTGAATCTACTAGCGAGTCCAGTAAAATAAGTACTGCATCAACATTCACATTATGTGTCCTGACTGATGCTCTTCATACAATAAATACTTGCCTAACCATGGGGTAATCATAATAATTGGGAATGTTATATACACAGCACAGCAAACTGGTGTCAATACATACAATCACATGAAAAATGATGACATGAGCATTGCACGAGAATTACTGGTAATTGTACATAATACATTCGTAATAACCTTTAATTAAAAAGAAAAAAGAAAAAAATATATATAAATAAAAAAACATTCTAAACACTTATATTGTTGTTCATAACAACCTTCATGATTATTTGTCATTACTATATAATGGAAGAAATCCTTAAGAGCAACCAAGGAAAAATGAAAGGGGACTATCTCAATTCATATAACTATCCCTGTAAACCACTATCCAAAGGATTCACACACTTATCTGGGTACAAAAATAAACACTGTAACAAATGCTAACAATGCCATACCAGGCCTTCTCTTCCTTGGAATAGTTCTAGCCTCTCCTAGTCCCAAAATCTATTAGTCTAAACACACTTGTTTCTTTTCCCAAATGAACAAGAAAAAACGTTCAAAAACTGCCCAGAAATATTAAACCCATAAAATCATAAGTAAAAATACTTCATTACAGCGGAGAAAGCATTTCAATGGCAGAACCCTATAAGCTTCTCTTTAGTTTCAGGCATCTACAGACCTATGCTATATTCTTTTGAACTTATAACTTGAACTTATTTCTATTGCAATCTGAAGCAGTTTTCCATACTCATACTGCTGTATTCTTTTGCATGAAAGAGTATCTTATCAACATAAATCTCTAGTACTAAACAGAACTACTTCAATATCTTGTATTTCTGAGATACTCATTATCCAGTGAAAATGATACTTTGCCCCTGCACATCAAATAAAATAAAATGAAAAGATATTGGTAAATCATATAAATCATTGGACGAGCCTTCAACATGCAAATACAAAAATCACCAACTACTTGATATTAACCCCTATGATCTGGGTGATATTACGATCCTGTCATGGGAAAATCTGGGATAAAGGTCAGGTGCCGTGGACCTGCCGTCATTGGACAAAATGGCTGAGGGCCTGGAGATGTGAACCTGCCATCACGAGCAAAGGCCTGGCTGACAGAAAAGACTTGCCACGAGAATACAAACCTCTTGGAGTGTGATTAGACTCATTTGGCACTTAAAAGGGGGCTTTTGCATTAATCTCATCAATAAACGAATAATGAATGTGAGGTGCATAAGCTGTGACTGGAAGAGTGCCGGCTCTAGGGAGGACCCCTCTTCCATGGTCAGCATCATATTCCTGGGTGCTGTGATTGGCAGCACAGGTTGTATTACAGAAAATTGAAAATTACCAAAAAATAAGATATATGACACAGATAACCACAGGTTACATTTTCTTTCCTTGCACTGACTTATTTACTACATAAAGAGATGGTATAGTCTGTGCAATAATTTATTCCCATCTGGATATAGCAAATCAAAACACAAATATAGACATTGGGAAAGGCAAAAAACAAAAAAAGTTTATGCAAAATAACTTGTCACCGCTCATGGGTGTCTGGGCACACCCGGCCTCCATGCAGCACTCCCAGGATATTGGCCACTTACATAACCCACTGACTGTATTTTTGGCACTGTGATTTCCATGATGGGACAGGATTCAATGGGTTAACACTAATTTGCTAATTCTCTCATAAACAGAGTTCACTATTAGAAAAAAAGCTATAAGGAATCACAAGCTAATGATATTTCAACTTCACTATCTTCATCATGTACAATAACACAAGTGGGATTAATACACTACTATTCCTACCAATCAGTATATTACGTTGATGTTATTAAACCATTCCATCAGACAAATTTGGGAGGAGAGGAGTACATTCTGTTCTCCTTGAATCAAAAATTACATTGACTTCAGGTAATCTGAAAAAGGCAGCCTACTCGTATCCCTTATGGCAGTTCATGTCTGAGGGTATGATGACAGCAAGCTCCAATTCGCACCTGAGGATGTTTTTATGCTCTTAAAGCACAGCTCAATTTGAAATCACAGCAAACTAATAAAAAGTGCTGTCGCAGCCTCTCATATGCATGAAGTTACGGGGAGAAGCTAACTGGGACAGAATAAAGATAATAAAAATAATAATCTAATTCACAATAATATAGTTAAAAAGCATTCAATATTAGTGTTTGGTAAAGTATATCCCATCCACATGTAGTTATGTAAGTGTTTTAAGATTCCTATATCTTGTAAATGGAGACACTGACCACAACAGTGCACCTTCCTCTCCTCCTACTGTGCAATGTTTTCTATCCCACACCATGACATCTACAATAGCAGCCGAGGGTAAATACATTTGTTGTTGTTATAATTGTTTTTGTATTATTTGTAATTCACATGAAAGTTTTTCTTCTTAATCCAAATTCTGTAAATAACCCTGGTTGCAGAAAAGTGAGAGGGAGTAAAGTTTAGAGTTCACTTGTTACATAATGATTGGAAGTGATGAGTGATTATTTAGTGATGACTAGAAAACAAGTCAGTCATAAAATAAAATTAGGTGTTTACGACTATGTACATTACATATTTCTTTTTCTATAAAGTGTTAACAAGACTACTGCTTTAGTTTTAAAACTAAGGAAAAAAATAATGAGTGGTGTCAATAACAACTATTCTTTTTTCATCATTTGCTCCTGCAACAATGGATGAATATTTTTGTTCTTCATAATATTAAGCAGTAACATGTATAATACAGTTTCATCAAACAAGCCCTTCACACTGTTTTCAAATTAAGCAAGCAATCCCATATTGTTCTACTTCAAACCTAGATATATCATGCATTTAGGAATCACAATACAGTATAAACAGCACAACAAAGTCTGCAACACATATAAAAACTTCCACACTTGTTAAGTCTAATGGTATTCTTGGACCACAATGCACAATGCCACTAAGGAAAAAGTAAAGACATGCCATGAAATTCCCTGTCTGCACTCTGGAGGGAGTCCTGTTTCTCTTTTCTCTCTACATGTTTTTTCAGCATTCATTCTCAGTCAAAGTGAAAACTGCAGCAGTCATGGCAAACCAACTTGCTTGGTATCAGTAGGTAAAAGTGAGCAAGATGATATTAGGCCCATTCAACAACCAAGTATGACTTCAAAAGGTACCAAAAAACAAACAAACAAATTACCTGGTCCAGCACTGTTTTCCCGAGTACAATATGCTTCCTCTCATTCACAAAAGCTTGCCTTACCTATATCATATCCTAATAAAAGACCATCACAATTATTTCATATCCATTTTCACAAAGTAAACATTACGAATATTACACTAATACTGACCATCATCACGGATACTGTAGAGAAAATTAAATTCCTTTTCATGGGTCGAATTCCCATTCTCATCAATCATCAAGACACCACAAACACTTCTCATAGACACTAAAGGGCATTTCATGAATAAACAAATGAAAAATCTGAATTTTGGGCTAACAACATCTCAAAGTCAAGAATACATAAAACACCGTACTAAAAGAAGCATGCTAATTAGAACAAACAGGAAAAGCCTGAAATACTTTTGAACACACAGATGTGTCTCCACCATTTCTGTGATATTCCCCCAGCAACAAATCTTCAATCAAGAGCAGTTAGTATGAGAAAAAGAGGAAAACAGATAAAAAATGAATGCTCTGTAACAAAGTAAGTTCCACTCCACAAGACCAGTTAATTTCACTCACATGAGAAGAAAGAGTAGTTGAAGAAAAAGAATGATAAGAAAAGAAATGAAAGACAAAACAACATTCACTATATCTATTATGTTAAGACAATGCCAAATACCAGAGCCCAATCAGGAAATCTATATTCATAAAACAAAAAAGAAAACAAGGACTGTCAATAGAGGAAAGTCCAATCATGATCCCAACACAAAAGCGTGCCCCTTCTCTTCACCTCTTGTGCCCGCGGTCCCTCAAGCCCTCATGGTGGAGGACATGGCGATGGTGGTGGTGATGGTGGTGGTGGTGGTGGTGCTGAGCGTGCGAGTGGTGGTTGTGGTGATGGTGGTGGTTGTGTGGGGGAGGCAAGTGCAGGACCAAGTGCTTCTTTTTCTGATCACGGAGGTTTGGCTGGCCTCCAGGGGGCCCCACGCTGCCCAAGGAGAGGGAGTTTGGAGAGGCTGTGACTGAGGTACCGGTGCTACTAGTGGACGCAGCAGAGGTGGAGCAGCTACCGAAAGCAGAAGAGGTGCAACCAGAGGCACCGCCCAGCCGACCAGATGAGTTCAGTGCAGTGTTTCTGGGCGGAGGTGGAGGTGGTGGTGGTGGAGGTGCAAACCTTATGTGGCAGTAGAAATTTTGGATGAAAGAGGAATACTGATTCAGTTGTATAAGAAATACTGCCTTCTGCTGTGAAATGCAAACCTTTTTCAGGTGAGGGGAGATGGGAGATGAAAAAAGTAAGAAAAAGAAGAAAAAAGGAATTCTAATGCCATGGACGACAGAACTACCTGAAACCTGATTTTTTTTATACTTTACTTACTGGCTTTATTTACAGTAATATTAGTGCCCAGATTCATCTAAACAATCTTACAAAGCTGCAGAATTACAAAATAAATCCATCATATAAAATTAATTATGTAATATGAAAATTTAAGTTCCTTTGTATGAATCAGAAAAAATACACATTAAGACCAAAGAGAGTAAAAAAAAAAAAAATTTGCTGGCTCAAGAATATTAGCTAATCACAGTAAATAAGATAAATCAGAAAGAATTCTCTGTTTTATTACACTTTGAAAAAACTAGAAGATATTACAACTCCTGCATAATTAATTTCTTTGAACCACTGTTGTTATTATGGGATATCTAAGCATTTACAATAAATAAGTCTCACCATAACATATACAAACTACTTATGCGAAAACCAAAAATTCACCCAACAAAATACACCAAAAAGTTAATACCACAGAATATTGAAGTATAACATCAAAACTGGGTGATGCAGCTGCTTAAATATTCATACCTGTCTTGGGCAAAACTAAAATTGTAATAAGCATACACGTGAAACAAACTGAAGAGGTTTCAAAGTAGGGAAAATACACTTAAGAGAATCTATAAGGGGTTAGATGCTGTATCAATAACTGTTACAACCTCACATTTGTGTTTAGCTCGATACAGATTTTGTTTCATTCAGTGACAAGTGAAACATTCAACTCATCTAGATACTTTTTCGGGGGTTTTGTAAATTCTGATACCTGTCATGTACATATTTCACTATTTGTGAAAACTAGTCTTATTATTAAGAAATAACAAACGAAAAATGAAAGTAATATCTTCGCTTCGACTCACTGTTTCTATCTCTGTCTCTGCCTATTGGCTCTCTCTCTTTCATATTTTTTATTTGTTTCCATTCTAAATAGTAAACAAGATCTCACTGCTCTCCTTGTACAATGGGGCCCATTCATCATACATTAAAATATAAAAAACTCCCTCCAAGTGCAGACTTCCAGACATATCAACAAATAAAATGCAAAATTGCAGAAATTATTCACAAAATTATTCCCCAAACTCTGGTCCTACTTCCTGGATTTTTTTCTTTAACCTATTGTGAAGGATGGCATGAAATACATGCCATGTAATTGTGATTCTATTTCCTAAAGTTTGTTTAAATATATGTTTTGTCACCAAGGAGTCAATTACTGATTCTTCCTCTCTCATTTGTCTACAGTTTAACATGATTTTGGGAAATATTTTTTTCTTATTGTTACTAGTAATCTAATAACAATGTAATATTCATAATGTAAACACTAAAATAATAACATTGGTATCATTAGCATAAGAAAAAATATATAAAAAGTTCAATGTGTTGTTTCTTTTGCTGCAGAGCACATGTCAAGCCATCAGTGTGCCCAAAAATTCACAAAAAAAGACAATGGACATTACATGTGCCCATGGCCAATGGGTCCCTATGGTCAGATCAGGTCAGGTCAAGATAACTCATTTACAGTGGTCCCATTTATCAGGAATCTCCAGAAACACTCAATACAAGTATATGAGAGCTCCTGATATCAAAATAAACTTGTCACTTAGAACCTGACCTGAAATC